CTCCCATTGGCTGGCGTTCGTCAGGTGGTTAAAGTAGTACACCCTTCCTAGGGGTATTGATTAATTATCGGTTATTGATTGGTTATTGATTGGTTATTGATTGGTGTCACCATTGACCCGGCTCCGCCCGCGGCCCCGCCCCGCTCGCCCGCTCCCATTGGCTGGCGTTGGTCAGGTGGTTAAAGTAGTACACCCTCCCTGGGGTATTGATTAATTATTGATTATTGATCGGTTATCGATCAGCGACAAGAAACACGTTATTCAGCCCAAAAATCAGATTATAGATCCTCAAAATCTACTGACTGACCCCACTGACTTGCATTTCTGCCACAGTATACCCTCCCTAGGGGGTTATTGATCAGTTATCGGTTATTGATCACTAATCGATTATTGATTAACACACAAATAACATCTTATTCAGCCTAAAAATTCATCGATTGACCCCACAGGCTCATGTTCATCATGTGGCTGAAGCAATACACCCACCCTGGAGGGGTTATTGATCTGATTGATTATCGATCACTAATCAATTAAACTCAAAAACCCCATTATTGACCCCAAATCCCAACTTACGCACCTCAAAACCCAACTTCTGACCCCCAGAACCAAATTCTGACCCCAATATCCCAGGTCCTGACCCCAAATCTCAGGTTCTGACCCCCAGAATCCCCAAAATTCAGGTCCCTTGGCTCCAAGAAGCCGCTTTGGACCCCAAAACCACTTTTTTGACCCCAAAAATCAACTTGGCAACCCCAAAGCCACAGATTTTCACCCCAAAATAGGATTTTTGACCCCAAACCCCACCTTTTTGGGATCAAGCGATGCTTCTTGCCCTCAGAAAATCAACTTTTGACCATAAAAACTTCTCCATCCTCAGCCTCTGACAGCCGTGGGGTGCTCCCCCCCCTCATTGAGGTGACGACCCCTCCCCAAATTCCCCTCACGAGGGTGACCCCCTCAGAATCCCTTCAATTGGGTGACCCCCACCCCAAAATTCCCCTCATGGAGGCGCTCCCCTTGAATTGGGTGAAGACCCCCCAAAATTCCCCTCACGGAGGTGCTCCCCCTTCTCTGAGGTGAAAAATCCCCAAAATTCCCCTCATGGAGGTGCCCCCCACTCAATTGGGATGTTCCCCTCTCAGTGAGGGAAAAACCCCTCGGGACCCCCCTCAATTGGGTGTCCCCCTCTTTCCCTGAGGTGAAAACCCCTCAAAATTCCCCTCATGGAGGTGCTCCCCTTGAATTGGGTGAAGAACCCCCCCAAAATTCCCCTCACGGAGGTGCCCCCCTTTTCTGAGGTGAAAACCCCTCAAAATTCCCCTCATGGAGGTGCTTTCCATTCCCTGAGGTGAAAAACCCCCCCAAAATGCCCCTCACGGAGGTGCCCCCCACTCAATTGGGATGTTCCCCTCTCAGTGAGGGAAAAACCTCTCGGGACCCCCCTCAATTGGGTGTCCCCCTCTT